CATATCTTTGGCTTGAGTATTGTACGAACAATTGTGAGTTAAAGGGGCCATGTCCTCGAACACACGGCCATTACCAACGATATGTTCGCCTTCGACCGACATTTTTGTAGTTGTTTGGATTAAACTTTCTCAAATCATTAATAATTCATGAGTAATTCAGCCATTGATAATCACCTATTTGATCACAAGATGCCATTTGGATACGGGTTAGGATAAAACGCGGATACGGACGGACGGATGGATGGCGGACGGACGGACGGATGAGTGGCGGACGGACGGACGGACGGATGGCTTCCAAAAATGTTTTTCAGCCTTTTTTTAGTCATATCCGCGTTTTATCCAAAAGGATAAAACGCGGATATGGTCCAGAAAACGTTTTTCAGCCATTTTTAAGTCATATCCGCGTTTTATCCAAAAGGATAAAACGCGGATATGGTCCAGAAAACGTTTTTCAGCCCTTTTTAAGTCATATCCGCGTTTTATCCAAAATGGTATCCAAAAGGATAAAACGCGGATATGGTCCAGAAAACGTTTTTCAGCCCTTTTTAAGTCATATCCGCGTTTTATCCAAAATGGTATCCAAAAGGATAAAACGCGGATATGGTCCAAAAAACGTTTTTCAGCCTTTTTTAAGCCATATCCGCGTTTTATCCAAAATGGTATCCAAAAGGATAAAACGCGGATATGGTTCAAAAAACGTTTTTCAGCCTTTTTTAAGTCATATGGTCAAAAGAACGTTTTATAAGGGTATATCTATATGTATTAAGAATATTAATTATTGTCCTAGAATTTGAACAAATAAAAACCGATATCTTACAGCGAGATAATAAAGTTTTAATTCAGTATTAGTTATCTGGTATGTATAGTACTCCAATTTTATGCCAATCAGTAATGTGCTGTTTAGTTCAAAGGCTTTCATGTCAATGCAGTTATCATATCGGTTTAAATATACCTACAATTTCCGTTAAGATATGACAATCTCCGTATACGGTCTAAGTTAATTTACGTTAACGCAAATTACAATTGCAACTTTCATGCTTAATTTTCTCTGTTATCTGGGCATGTAGTAACCTAATTTTATGCCAATGTAATGTGCTGTTTTCCAAGGGCTTTTCAATGCAGTTATCGGTTTAATTAAATATACCTAAAATTGCCTTTAAGATAAGACAAATTCCGTATGGTCAACTTTTACGCGAAGCAAATTAGCTACAATTGCATAATTTTCTCAGTTATCTGGGCATTTGGTAATCCAATTTTATGCCAATAGCAATGTGCTGTTTTCCAAGGACTTTTTAATGCAGTTATCAGTTTAAATATACCTAAAATTCGCGTTAAGATATGACAATTTTCGTACTACCTACTTTTAGGCAAACGCGAATTACGATTGCCACTTTCATACGGATGGTTTAAATTTCTCACAAAATGTCATTTAACAGTCATATCTACGTTTTATACAAAAAGATAAAACGCGGATATGGGCAAAAGAACGTTTTATAAGGGCATATCTATACGTGTAAAGAATATTGAAAATTGTCATCGAATTTGAACTAATAAAAATCAATGTCTCTTCGCTTAAATACTTACTGCGAGATAAGAGTTCTAAAATTACAATTTAGTGTTAATAATCATGGCAGGCGGAAATGCGTTTCTCTTTAATCTTCATGAACAGTTAGCGCCGCGGAAACATGTTTCACAAGCAACTGGTGAATTGGGGTAAGGATAAAACGCGGATACGGACGGACGGACGGACGGATGGCGGACGGACGGACGGATGGCGGACGGACGGACGGACGGATGGCGGACGGACGGACGGACGGACGGACGGACGGACGGACGGACGGACGGGGGGGACAAGCGGATGGACGGGGGGGATCAAATCCGCGTTTTTTAGAAAATGTAATTAAGACTATTATTAATCGTAATAAATTGTCGAAAAAATAATAAAATATTAAATTGTGGAAATGCGGGGTTTTTCGAACCTTTGTAACGCTGAAAATTCTAATTAAATACGTTAGACATCTGCTTAAACTCGGGTCCAATTTCATTTGCGCAAATATCGCGTAATCGAGTGAGTATTTGAACGCGATAAAACAACTCGGACGAAGAAATATTAATACATAAGGTTTACTAACGTACTTGCCAATGTCGTATTTTAACAAAAGTCCAACTGTTTCGTCGGATGTAATCGAGGCGCACTCTTTCTCAATCTGATTAAATTATAAATGTAAACAATACTAAAGTTGAGAGAAATACTCATTACTGTGACAGCACGATTCCGATATAGACCCGCTTTGTCGATGTCAAATGTCCAATTAATTAATATATATGATTTGGTATTAAACTCACAAACAATTAGTTTCCAACTATATACGAAACCAGTAGTTTACAGGCTGTTTACAAACGCTAGGTTACATTAGTTTTTATCTGTACTTCCGCTTAAAAAGGTCAATTTTAAAACAGGGATTGTCTACATCAGCGACATGCATATAATCCCCAAATGCCGAGTCTTATTAAGATGAATTCTTATGAAAATTGCTCTTGCAAAGCACAAAGCTTGCGAAGTACAGGACATGTGACAATGTCCACTTTGTAACTTTGTATATTTGCGCACGGCTATTTAAGGTAATACGATATAGCTTTTGTCAGCATAGACTTTGACATGAAACTTCCTTTCGATCTTTAACTGCCACAGCACGGTTGTGTTTGTGAGGCAAGCGAAGCCAAATGTCTTTTTTTGGCAGTTTGGGGAAAACAAGCCAACCTACTCGCGAAACTGTTGATACGAACTGTTGAAGGAGTTTGTCTGGACAAGTACGCTGTGTTGCTTGAATATGTGTATTTTGATTTTACGCCAATCGGAAACGACGGCATCACTGTGCATAGCTTAGCCAATTTCTTGGCAGTTTGCGAACAATCAGATTGCCATGGCATGCATTGCTCGATATTTATTCATTCTTCCTTGGACGTCGCGTTGGGTTTGAAGTATCTGCACGAGAAAGGGATTGCCCACCGTGACCTGAAACCTGAGAATATATTGGTGTCTAACCACCATTACAATCGTCTCACAGATACACGAGCAGTCGAATGCATGGCTTCCATTAAGCCACTCATATGTAAGCTGACGGACTTTGGTGAAAGTCGATCAAAAGACATCCACACCGAGCAAATCCTAAAATCGAAGACCGCACGGGTAAACCGAGGTGAGACCGCTTAATTTAATAACAATGTTTGAATCTTGTCGATCTAAAGGCCATGTTATAGGCCAATGGAATTAAATTAAGGTATCAGTTTACCAACACCCGCCCGCGTCTACTTTTGACAGCTGCGTGAAATTTTCATTATTTTATATTTTCTCATTATTTCCATTTCCCCCAATCTTTATAGTGTTTGATAAAGCTATTTTATGCAGTACATCAAAGTTCACTTAACAGATGCATTCGGAATTGGTTTGAAATAAGTCCACTGTCCACACGTTCTGGAAGTGTCGGGAAAAGCTCATGGTTGCGTTCCAAAAGTATAGTTGTAAACACACCTTTTTTCCACCATCCCTGAAATGAATAATTATTTTTCTTAATTTCGGTAAATAACCTTTGAAAGTTCAGCTGACGGCAAACTGATACCTTGATAATTCCGGCCGTTGGCATAAATACAGCTGGAACACTACCTTCAGATTTTAGAGTCATTGGTAAAGTGAAACCAAATTTTTTACTCCAATGACTCCCAAAGCCCCGCGACACGTGTCTTGACCACTCGGTCGCGTTTTTGCCATCATGCCTGGTCAAAACCGATAGTGGGAATGAAGATGCATATTTTGCATAAATTGCCTCGTGTAACATGACCTTTAGAGCAAGCAAGTTTATACGAGGGGCAGGACGGAACGTATTATTACAAGTATATTTATTTCATTTATTCCGTGTGATGCCTATAAAATCTTTAAAATTACGATATGTTTTAATAAGTATACTTGATTTTGAATACGTGCAAGTGTCATATAAAAAATTGATCAAAATTGCCAATATACAAATTTTGCTGGCCCATATCGGTCAACAAAGAAAACTTGCTGAAGCAATATGAGAATTTGCATGTGGTTAGCCAGCGGAATATTGTTGTGGCCTTTTATTGCGCGCTCGTATTGCCAGCTTTACGAATACATTGGCATTGCTGGCTGCTAATTGTCACATACTGGGTGTCTAAAAAACCGCTATGGAAATTCAACAGGCTGTCGTGGATCATAAACTTCGCTAACTACATTTCAATTTTTACACAGGGCGAAAGAACAGTTATTTAGCTTATTACGAAGTCAAACCGGGACTATTTCGTTTTGGTCATAGTATTATCATATGGTATTATCTAAAATAGATGTTTACATAAGACCGGGACGAAAATAACTGAGACCGGTCTCAAGTCATTCCACCTGACTTCAGACCGGTGTCCCAGGAAATTTGCCCTCCCCCCAATAAAAAAATTGCCCCCCCCCTCGAAAACATAGACATAGTTTACTTTATCGCTATAAACTAGTTTCATATCTCGTATCTCTGAGAATGGTTCTGAAATATTATCGCTATAAGGCTATAAGCTCGGAAATCGTGAAGCTTCTTCTAAAACCAAGATCCTAAAGGTGTTTGTCAGTATTTATAGTTGGTTTGCATAATTTATTTTTGTCGAAATTCTTCATTGCGGTCAAGATCTAAAAGTTTGAAGGAAAGCGTAATAATAATAATGTGCAGCCAGCAATGCCAATGTATTCGTAAAGCTGGCAATACGAGCGCGCAATAAAAGGCCACAACAATATTCCGCTGGCTAACCACATGCAAATTCTCATATTGCTTCAGCAAGTTTTCTTTGTTGACCGATATGGGCAGCAAAATTTGTATATTGGCAATTTTGATCAATTTTTTATATGACACTTGCACGTATTCAAAATCAAGTATACTTATTAAAACATATCGTAATTTTAAAGATTTTATAGGCATCACACGGAATAAATGAAATAAATATACTTGTAATAATACGTTCCGTCCTGCCCCTCGTATAAACTTGCTTGCTCTAAAGGTCATGTTACACGAGGCAATTTATGCAAAATATACATCTTCATTCCCACTATCGGTTTTGACCAGGCATGATGGCAAAAACGCGACCGAGTGGTCAAGACACGTGTCGCGGGGCTTTGGGAGTCATTGGAGTAAAAAATTTGGTTTCACTTTACCAATGACCCTAAAATCTGAAGGTAGTGTTTCAGCTGTATTTACGCCAACGGCCGGAATTATCAAGGTATCAGTTTGCCGTCAGCTGAACTTTCGAAGGTTATTTACCGAAATTAAGAAAAATAATTATTCATTTCAGGGATGGTGGAAAAAAGGTGTGTTTACAACTATACTTTTGGAACGCAACCGTGAGCTTTTCCCGACACTTCCAGAACGTGTGGACAGTGGACTTATTTCAAACCAATTCCGAATGCATCTGTTAAGTGAATTTTGATGTATTGCATAAAATAGCTTTATCAAACACTATAAAGATTGGGGGAAATGGAAATAATGAGAAAATATAAAATAATGAAAATTTTACGCAGCTGTCAAAAGTAGACGCGGGCGGGTGTTGGTAAACTGATACCTTAATTTAATTCCATTGGCCTATAACATGGCCTTTAGATCGACAAGATTCAAACATTGTTATTAAATTAAGCGGTCTCACCTCGGTTTACCCGTGCGGTCTTCGATTTTAGGATTTGCTCGGTGTGGATGTCTTTTGATCGACTTTCACCAAAGTCCGTCAGCTTACATATGAGTGGCTTAATGGAAGCCATGCATTCGACTGCTCGTGTATCTGTGAGACGATTGTAATGGTGGTTAGATACCAATATATTTTCAGGTTTCAGGTCACGGTGGGCAATCCCTTTCTCGTGCAGATACTTCAAACCCAACGCGACGTCCAAGGAAGAATGAATAAATATCGAGCAATGCATGCCATGGCAATCTGATTGTTCGCAAACTGCCAAGAAATTGGCTAAGCTATGCACAGTGATGCCGTCGTTTCCGATTGGCGTAAAATCAAAATACACATATTCAAGCAACACAGCGTACTTGTCCAGACAAACTCCTTCAACAGTTCGTATCAACAGTTTCGCGAGTAGGTTGGCTTGTTTTCCCCAAACTGCCAAAAAAGACATTTGGCTTCGCTTGCCTCACAAACCATAGTTAATATAGAACTATGCACAAACACAACCGTGCTGTGGCAGTTAAAGATCGAAAGGAAGTTTCATGTCAAAGTCTATGCTGACAAAAGCTATATCGTATTACCTTAAATAGCCGTGCGCAAATATACAAAGTGGACATTGTCACATTGTCCTGTACTTCGCAAGCTTTGTGCTTTGCAAGAGCAATTTTCATAAGAATTCATCTTAATAAGACTCGGCATTTGGGGATTATATGCATGTCGCTGATGTAGAGACAATCCCTGTTTTAAAATTGACCTTTTTAAGCGGAAGTACAGATAAAAACTAATGTAACCTAGCGTTTGTAAACAGCCTGTAAACTACTGGTTTCGTATATAGTTGGAAACTAATTGTTTGTGAGTTTAATACCAAATCATATATATTAATTAATTGGACATTTGACATCGACAAAGCGGGTCTATATCGGAATCGTGCTGTCACAGTAATGAGTATTTCTCTCAACTTTAGTATTGTTTACATTTATAATTTAATCAGATTGAGAAAGAGTGCGCCTCGATTACATCCGACGAAACAGTTGGACTTTTGTTAAAATACGACATTGGCAAGTACGTTAGTAAACCTTATGTATTAATATTTCTTCGTCCGAGTTGTTTTATCGCGTTCAAATACTCACTCGATTACGCGATATTTGCGCAAATGAAATTGGACCCGAGTTTAAGCAGATGTCTAACGTATTTAATTAGAATTTTCAGCGTTACAAAGGTTCGAAAAACCCCGCATTTCCACAATTTAATATTTTATCATTTTTTCGACAATTTATTACGATTAATAATAGTCTTAATTACATTTCCTAAAAAACGCGGATTTGATCCCCCCCCCGTCCATCCGCTTGTCCCCCCCCGTCCGTCCGTCCGTCCGTCCGCCATCCGTCCGTCCGTCCGTCCGTCCGCCATCCGTCCGTCCGTCCGCCATCCGTCCGTCCGTCCGTCCGTCCGTCCGTCCGCCATCCGTCCGTCCGTATCCGCGTTTTATCCTTACCCCATCTAAAACGTCAGCGACAACATGTACAAGGTGTGGCGGTAAACACGATGAACAACAGAAATGTCCAGCTATAGGAGCTACTTGTCATAAGTGCAAAAAACCTAACCACTACTCGAGAATGTGCAGGACTAGAACAAATGAAAAGAACGTTCATAGTCACGAAGCCGAAGCGAGCACACGAAATAGCGACAGTGAAAGCAATGATAGTTTTTTCATTGGCGCCATACACGCCCAAGACGAAAACAAAGAATGGACGACATCCCTAAAAGTAAACAATACAAATGTTATGTTCAAAATCGATACTGGAGCCGAATGCAATGTGATTTCAAAAAAGACGTATGAGGAACTTAGTAAAACCCCCTTAGAAAAATCGCGAACAAAGCTCGGAGCGTTTGGAGGGCAAAAGTTAAAAACAATTGGAAAATTTACAATGTTATGTACATATCGTGACAAATATTGGCCAATTGAGTTTCAAGTCGTAAATCATGAAGTTCCAAATATACTTGGACTTACAACTTGCCTTCAGTTAAATCTTGTAAAACGAGTGCTAACTATCGACAAAAAAGAATGCGTCGAGTCGACGTCCACCGCACCTGAGGACATTTTCGAACAGTACAGTGATGTGTTTACTGGGTTAGGTTGTGTTAAAGGCGTAGTACACCACATTGAAACTGACCCTACTGTAAAACCCGTTAATTCACCCACCGCGTCGAGTTTCAGCACCCTTGCGACAAAAAGTTAAGGACGAACTGGATCGTATGGAAAGTCTCGGAGTAATAGAGCGAGTTCAACAGCCAACGGAATGGGTAAATAGTTTAGTAACTGTCGTAAAACCCAATGGAAAAATACGATTGTGTATTGACCCGAAAGACTTAAATCGCGCAATTAAACGTGAACAGTATCCTATGAAAACTATAGAAGAAGTTATCTCGCGAATGCCGAATGCCAAATTCTTCTCGAAGCTTGATGCTACCCAAGGCTACTGGCAAGTACAACTTGATGACGAAAGTGCAACGAAATGCACATTTAATACACCGTTTGGTCGATACCGTTTTCATCGTCTTCCATTCGGAATTTCGTCTGCACCGGAAGTGTTTCAGCGTATTATGTCTCAAATTTTTGATGGCAATGAAGGAATCGAAGTTATTGTCGATGATTTATTAATATGGGGTGAAACTCGAGAACAACACGATGAACGTTTGAAACAAGCATTAGAAAGAGCTCGCGAAGCTGGAGTGAAACTTAACAAGGATAAATGTGAAATTGGACTACAACAAGTAACTTATATTGGACATACGTTGAGTTCAAATGGATTAAAACCGGATGTGAACAAAGTCGAAGCTATCAAAACAATGGATACACCGACAGATAAGGCAGCAGTCCAGAGATTTCTTGGGATGGCAACGTACCTTGCTAAATTTATCCCAAAGTTCTCACAATTAGCTGCTCCCCTGCGACTGCTACTTGAAAAGAACACGGCATGGCACTGGGATGTGCAGCAACAAAACAGTTTCGAAGGATTAAAGCAAACAATAACAAATGCACCTGTTTTGAAATATTATGATGTAAACAAACATGTAACTATTCAAGTTGATGCTAGCCCTGATGGGTTAGGAGCTGTCCTTTTACAGGACGAGCGCCCAGTCGCATATGCATCACGGTCATTAACACAAACACAACGAAACTATGCGCAGATAGAAAAAGAGATGTTAGCTATCACATTCGGTTGCGAGCGATTTCATGACTATATTTTTGGAAAGAAATCAGTTACGGTACACACAGACCATAAACCTTTAGAGTTTATTTTTAAGAAGCCCCTTTATCATGCGCCACTAAGGCTCCAAAGAATGATTTTGAGAACACAAAAATATTCCATAAATGTCCAGTATAAACCAGGAAAAGAGCTGCTCATTGCAGACACCCTATCCAGGGCCTGCCAGCAAAGCAACAACAGCATTAATGAGCTGACAAGGGATTTCGAAGTGAATGTTATAGACTTTCTACCAATGTAGAGAAAGTTCAACAACTTCAGTCAGCAACGGAGGTTGATCAAGATTTGAAAGAACTGAATAGCTGTATCAAAGAAGGCTGGCCAACAGACAAATCCAAAGTACCAGAAGGTGCAAAACCATACTGGAACTATCGAGACCAAATAATCGAACAAGCAGGACTATTGTTCAAAGGAAATAAAGTCATTGTTCCACGTGTGCTACGGTCAGAAACGCTCAAGATAATACACAATGCTCATCTTGGCATTGAAAAATGCAAACGGAGAGCGCGGGACATATTATTTTGGCCTGGTATGAATGCCGAGATAGAAGACCTTGTCAAGAAATGCCAAGTTTGCCAAGTCCACCAGGTAAGAAACACGAGAGAACCCCTTCATCCCCTAGACAGTCCTTCAAGACCTTGGGAAATAGTTGCAACAGATCTATTTGAGCTGGATGGATCTTCATATCTGATTCTTGTTGATTCCTATTCTGGGTTTTTTGAAATTGCTCAACTGACTGGAACTAAAAGTTCCTCTGTGATAACCCATTGCAAGTCCCAATTTGCCCGTCATGGTATACCGGATACATTAATATCAGATAACGGCCCACAGTTTGCCAGCCATGAATTCGCCACATTTGCACAAGAGTATGGATTTCAACATACTACATCAAGTCCCCATTTTCCACAATCCAATGGGTTAGCCGAAAGATATGTACAAACAGCCAAGAACCTCTTAAAGAAAGCAAAGCAAGCAGGCACTGACCCCTATCTCGCCCTGTTAGCATATCGCAACACCCCAGTTAATGAAAAATTGGGATCCCCAACCCAGAGATTATTTGGTAGAAGAACAAAAAACCACCTTACCCACTTCGACCACACTATTAGAACCAAAGATAATTGAACCCAAAATAGTCAAAGAAACCCTCCATAAGAACAAAGAAAAACAAAAACAGTACTTTGACCATCACACTAAAGAGCTTTCAGTCCTTCAACCAGGTGCTAATGTTCGGTATGAGACTAACACTGGACTAAAAGCAGCAGTAGTGATTGAAAAGAGAAAAGAGCCCAGATCGTACATGATCCGTACATCTAATGGGTTCGTATTGCGAAGAAACCGGAAACATCTATATGAATCTACTGGCATGAACAGATTGGAGAACTGTGATCTAGATGATGACAACATCACCGAGTACCAACCTCCACACCAAATACCAATTGCCGTGGGTAGGCAGCAAAATGGGTTAGAACCTGGACAAGCACCACAACCACCACAATTGTACACAACTCGAAGCGGTCATGCTAGTCGTAAACCAGAAAGATTTCAAGCCAACTAAATGGAAAATAGGAAAAGAACAAAGGAACACTAAAATAGCAACATTGAAACTTTTTAGAGAATAAATCTAATAGTTGACATTATATAGCACACTAATAACATTAGAAAACTGTTTATGATTGACATTTTAAAAAAGACATTAATAGGAACAATAGGTAAACAATCTCCTTTGGGAAAAGGGAGATGTGACATTTATAAGTAGATGATTGACATTAAGTAGTTATGACGTAATGGACATAGATATATATGCAGGAGACAATTAGATAAAGGAGATATAGACTCAACATGGCGTGTGTCTAAACAAACACAATATTACACCTTACATGCGATCAAAATGGTTTATACAAAGATTAAAACGGTAATCTATATGTAATGGATCAGCATTTAAATTTCCAACACAGTTTAATTTCCGAGAAGTAATTCACATCATATTGGAAAGACGGCTTCCATATACGTTGAAATCATCAAATAAACAGCTCATGCAGACATTCTCCCCTTTGTCATACGTTTACCGAGCATATTTTATACCTTAGGACTGATCTTTGTCTTTGATGTGAACATTTATTCTTCTAGTTTAAGGTTATTTAAGATTGATCGTATCGTAAGTGTTCAAGCATGCAGCAACCAATCGACAATAGTTCATTTTACCGTTGTCTTTGCCGTTACGTTTGCTTCGCGTTACTTTTGTTTTAAATACCTTGATCTCGTTAAAAGAGTTATTTTTCGGGCCAGTGACATAGCCAGAAGACTTCGCATTAATGTCCTTGTGATATCTCTAGAACTGAGGATTTTAGAAAGCGCCATCTGTACTTTCTCAAAGTTGTTACGTCCAATAACCTTACATAACTCAAAATGATTCGACCAAAACCGGTCTTTGGTTAAAAGGAAAACAGGTTAATAGAAGTTGGTCTTTTGGAGTGACATATTCGTGTATCGTCATCGATCCGTGTGGTTGAACAATGAAAAATTTGTCGTGAAATTCTTGAAGATAAAATAGCATTTTGTGAGGAAACTGCGGGTCTACGGATTAGAATTCAGCGTGCTTGAAAGTGTTAGTTCCCGTCAAAATATTTCAGATCTAAGACATGTTTAATGAAAGTGAACGTTATCGGGTCACAACACACGGACTAGTTGATCGAAATGAGGGAATGCACGATTGTCGATCAGGAAAGGCAACAGTTAATGAAGTTAACATCCCGCAACACGGCAACAGACGAAATCGTTGTAGCTGGCATGTGAGCATATAAAACATTGAGGGGTTTGCCCTAAGTAACTTTTAATCTTAAAACGTTCTTAAATGTTTGCTTACAGTATTAATAATATATTTATGTATGTCAAAGGCACCAATACCTGTACACGTGCTACTGTGTTGACAATGACTAAGCGGTATTAAAGTGTCACTGTTCGCTTCGATGTTCGTATGAAAAAGTCCGTTCTTTTTAACGTTTATATAAAACCACAGTAAAAACTATTCACTGACTGTAATTGCACGCTGAAACATCCTGTCAAATAGGGTAAACTATCCGTATTTACTGACTAAACTTCTCGCATGATATTTCGGCCGCATTCTGTCATTCCCTCACCGATTTTAGAACGAATCTATGTATCATTGTTGAAGGGGATATCGATTGATCTTGAACGAAATGCATTAATGGCGAAGAATCGAGACCCCCTGTTATCCCACAGCCGGGCGAGGGCAAATAGAGCCTGCGCCTTCTGTGGGTGGGAGGGTTAACTTCCAACTCCCTCTGTGGAGAAGGTTCTCATGTTTTCAGAAATGGCCCAATGCAAAATTAGATGACAAAAACTAAGACGGTGCAGATCGGATGCAGATTTGCAAATCGGATGCAGATTTCGTAGAGTAGTTTCGCGTGACATATGCCAAGTCTTGGCTATTTTGGTCTCCATGTTTCTTTCCTTCCCTCGTTATAAGGAGGTTACAGGCCGGCGCGGGCAATTCGAGCCTGGGCCTCCTGTGTCCCACCTCCTGTGGACATCCTAATACATTTTGCTATTATCAGAAGTAGTGTACATGCCCCCCTCGCCTCCCTTAGCGACGGCATACATTTCCTTTTGGGGGAGATCGCGGATTTCCCTAGGGAAATGTTTATAACGTACTTGTACTTTTATAACCTATTCCACATTGTTTGTTTAGGAATGGGGAAATGCATGCCCTCATCATTTTCGTGGGAGTTACAAACTGGAATATGATATGTCTTGGACGAAATCAGAAGATATTGAGAAAAGAGGACAGGACTTAGCAGAAATCTCACGTTTATTAAACAGCAAGATACCTTCAATTGAATATATTTGTGACTCTGTGAAGAAATCAGATGAAACAGATAACAACGACGCATCCTAACTGTTTATATACTGTAATTTCTAAGTGATATATAAAGCATGAGAGACTAAAATACGAATGCAAGTAATCAAGTTTACCAACTATTTTGCTAATAATCCCCGAACCAACGGCGCGGAGCGCCGTTCCGGCGTAAGCCCGGGGTGAGGGTACTAATTCCGCCCGGCTATTTACACCCGGGAGGTAGCTACTTAATTGAGGTTCGACTAGTTAATTTTGTGAACATTTAACCCATAAGCGCCAGCGCTCTAGCTCCCCTTAAAAAGTAAAACCGTCTGGTGTTACACATTGAATCAATAAAGTAGGGCGCAATTAAATAGACCAGTAGGCTTGGTATAATGTTGTCGTATATTAATGTAAAATAGTATTAGTATATAACACAACAGGGAGTGGCACATTTGCGTGATAACACTCATTAGGGCCATTCATACGGGACAAAATAAGTCGCGACTTACATAAGACGCGTCTTATATAAGCAGAGTTATCGCATAAATGGTTCTCTACGGCTTTATTCTTATTTACTTGCTATAGCTATGATGTTGTTTCGGTTGTTTTTGTTTTAATATGCAAGGCTAATAATTTTACGTTGTTTCAAGTTTCGGACATGTGTAGTTAAGACGCGACTAAAATAAGAACAGCTAAAAGTCCTGTTCTTATATAAGACGCGTCTTATCCAAGACGCGTCTTACAAAAGAATTTTGTACCGTTTATACGACAAACTCGCGTCTTATTTAAGTCGCGTCTTATGTAAGTCGCGTCTTATTTTGTCCCGTATAAATGGCCCTATTGTCACAGATGGATTTTTTAATAATTATGTCATGTGCGCCTGTTCAGCCTGGGAGCCTCACTTTCATGAATCAAGACAAAATGTGATTGTATCACTATTCATGGGAATTTGTTGTTTGTAGGGTTGTTTTCCATTTACATGGAAATTCCGGTGATTCCATACGGAAAGTAAATGAAACGAGCATATTTCGACGGCCCAACCGGAACTTTTCCGGAACGAACGGTTTGTTTGAAAAGGTTGTCCTCTAATTGGAACGTTTCAACCGGTGATTTTTTTTCACCAGTTCCAGGCTCTTCGCGATTTAATTCAAACCGGATGGGTTTTCCATGTAAATGGTAAACAAGGTTGTTTACCATTTACATGGAAAACCCATCCGATTAGAAATTGTGCTAATGGTAAGCAAAATTTTGTGTAGAAAATCTCATTCGGTTTATTCCATGTAAATGGTAAACAACCTAGATGAGGTATTTATTTCTGTAACAAGACGCCTTCTCAGGCGTTCACACTGGCCTGAAAATGGCAGTTTTCGTGGTGGGGTGTAAGGTGTATTAGAGAAGTACTATGAGATAGGGATACAGGTGATCTGGACCATATAAATACAACCAATAAATAGAATCCTGATAGCAACTATCAACCATAATATACCAAGACGCCGGCTCAGGCGTACCCCCGGCTACGGACAACTCAACCTGACAAGCCAGGCCCACTGTAACTATGATCATCAACTATCAACCGTAAATAATGAAGGGCCAATAATAGCGAAGAAATTATATAATCCTTGATATAGTCCTTGATATAATGATATGGCTCGTTTGTGGTGCTAAAAGTTCATAGACAGACGATTCTTCTAAAAAATACGGCAATTTGCTTCCATTTATAAGATAAACTGATCCCAAGCCCTTATCTAACCCCAACCAGTAAACATCTAATAAACAATTTGAGAATTAAAAAAGTGGGGAGTTGGATCTTGTTCCAAAAACAAATCGAAGCGTACCAGGTTCCACTTCGCCGCACGCAACGCCACCTCGCTGAATACAATCGAACAAATACATTTTTATAGTAATATATGATGAAATGGAAAGTAATTTGGTGCAAATTAATGTAATTAGGTGCAAATCTATAATTATGCAAATAAACACAAGTGCACAACGCATGTTTATGAGTCTACAACGTAAATTTACACTTGTTAATTAAAAAGTCAAACCGTCAAACCTTTAATTAACTTGTCTTTGTTTATATTCCACGCTATATTGTATAAATTCGCTGGATCCAAATTTTGGGATTTTCGAGTCGTTACACAAAGGAAAACACATTAATTCAACACGCAAGAGAGTCCAGTGTAAAATATATATTAGATCGCTCAGTGAAAAGCCGCCATTTTGAACTTGAACTAAATATGTCACTGGAGTACTCTATCCTTGGAGTTCGGACGTGTGTTATTGTTTATTGATGCTTGGAAATTTTCCTTGCTAACAGTAAATACTTTTCATTAATCATTATGACAAGGGTTGATGCATTGTAAAAAAAAACCAAGCTCCACGAGATGAAGTCGCTGAGTTAAAAGCAAATTTGCTGATAGTGTCTGAAGATCTCTCATCAAAGTCGAAGGCGCGAGAAGAAAGATATCTCACCAGAACGAGCTCGATCTGTTGAATTTATCTTCTCAATATGGTGAGCTTTCTCAATTTAAAGAAACAGCCAAAAGACAGATATAAGATATACTTACTAGAGTCAACAAAATTTCAGAAAGATGTAATCTGATTGCGAAATCTGTCGAAGTATATAGCTATCAGTTCAATGTTAAAATTGTGAGAGTACCAGAAATAGCCAAAAAAGAATCTGCCCAACAAACTGCTGAACTCTGTATCAAGTTATTTACTGCTTTGGGAGCAGAAGATGTATCTTTGACATCTTTGAATAATATTGACACGGCACATCGAGTACCATCGCGATTGGCTTCAAGCAGACCAAAAGCTATCGTCTGCAAGTTTTGTTGCCAGAGTGTCTGTCACAGGGGCGGATCCAGGCAGGGATGCCGGAACCACGGGTGCAGCGGGTGCAAGGGCACCCCATGCCTTTTGTATTCATAACTTTTTGGGTGCAGTGCGGGTGCAGACTATATGGGTGCTACGGGAGCAAGCTGTGAGACATAAATCTGTTCTCAGTTATTAATAGTTTTAGCCCAGGGATACACTGACCCTTGTATTTATTAAACTTGTAGACATTTCCTTCTTCATCTACCTTACGTCGAGGGGCCAAACCTTGACGAAGTAGTGTCTTAAGTTTTCCAAAATGGGTTTCTAAGTTCTCTCGCCGTATGTACTCTTCCTACATTCTTCACCACTTAGAAGCGGAGGCATCTTTTCTTTTTCTTCTAGGCTTTTTTATTCTTCTTACACTGCCGATGATAATCAGATAACTGGTGCATGTGAAGGCGTTCTGGAATCTGAACCTTTGTACTACGATGAGAATCCATCTGATGTTTCGTCTTTGTATTAAAATGAATTATGCTCCTGTCAGTGGATTTGACGAACAGCCAACCCGCATTGAAATAAAGTCTTATCGCCGGTTAGCTTCAAAAGGTTACATCATTATATAAACCTGACAAGTTACGATAAATTTAGGGGTTTACGTAAGTAATCTGTTGGTATTAATTAAACGACTTAATTCTATTCGTTTTAAATCTTTTGCACAGGCAAGGAAAAAACTTAACGTAGAGCTCCAGAGCTTCAACTACTATGGAATAATAGTAGATGAGGCCACAAACATCTCCAAGTCGGAACACATGTCCTTACATACACGGTACTATACCGACGATTATGAAGTAGTGATTTATGAATTTAGCATTTATGAATGCAGGGAAGGTGTTCACAGATGCTCTGTTTGAATATATCAAGGATATCTTGATCAGGTGTCAACTGCATGGATACGAGCAGGTTAGTTGGAATGACATTTGAGCGCGCAATGGCAATGAAATTTCTGGCGAGGAATGTCAAAAGTGAAATGAATAAATCAATCATTTTTATTCACTGCTTAGCACATTGCCAAGAAATAAGATGCCACCAAACATTGCTCAGCTTTGGAGAATGCCCAATCACTATGTGAAGACCTGTATGTGATTGTTGGGATCTCTGCCAAACGTGTGGCTCTATTTGCCAAGATCCAGGATGAGATCGACAGTGATGATGTGTTGCGCCTCCAATCCAAAACCTCTCAAAGAGACAACGAGGGGGCAGCAGGAAATGTTATAACTTCAAAACATGCGGAACTTAATAAACTTTAAAGACAATTTCTGAGGACAGAAACAACAATGCCAAATGCAAAGCCAAAGCAAAGGTGCTAATCTCCAGACCGGAAAGTGCCAAGCACATGTTTAGTGTGTTTCTAATGAGGTATCTGGCGCATATTCTGGAAATGAATTCAAACAATACACAAGAGAGTGATCTTACAGCGGAAGTGGCAATGGACTGCATCACAAAGATTGAAATAAGGCTTGCAGAGATGAGATGCAATGTTGAAGAATTTGAAAAGGTAAGATACAGAGACGTTAAGAACGTCTGGCATATACAAGTATGGTAGGATAAAACAAGGATTATTCAAATATATTTAATTTGAAACAATGTCAATGTAGACTTCTTATTTTCGAACTGTACAAGAAAGTTGATGATTCAGAGCTACAGATAGCTACGAATCGTGTAAGCAGACCAAGACTTTAGACATTGGACAGGATGATGTGGCCACTCAGCGGATACGATTCCAACGATTTGAAAGCAGAACTCAAGCGGGTATATTTTGGTTCGATTTACAGCATCATGAGTTCAATGAAGGAACGGTTAGACGACCAAATCGTCAAAGATATCAACCACATGTTAATCTCATGCACTAACAATGAGGCAGATGTCACCACTGAGTAGCTTATGTGATAAAACACCTTGGCGTCGCCGCAAAGTTTGTGAAATTGTATCTTTTAATTGAAGAATTAAAAGAGTTACATGTCCATATTAGTTTGTACAACAATTAAGGATTTGAAGCTGTCATTAAGAAAGTAATTGCCGTTCCGACTATTCAAGACACATTGAATGCGAAGGCTGTCTCGAAAGCATACTTCCAGAAACGCATAAGCGGTTTCTGCTCCTATCAACATATGCTATGTCATGTGCAATTGCGGAATGCACATTCATTACCATGAGATGTGTTAAGACATGGCTAAGATCACGAATGGGCTCAGCAGTGTTTACAAACTGTATGTTTGCAGTAATTCATAAGGAAAGAATGGATGATGTAAACAAAAAGCAGTTAACAGCAGACTTTATATCAAAGTCCTCACAAAGAAAAGATTACTTTGGAGGAGTTTATTAAGTTTATATGTTATAAACAATGAACTATTTAGTTTCATAACCTAGTAAACTGCCACACAAAATTTTCTTCAGTAGAAGATAAAGCGAAACAGTTTCTGCTAATTCTGCTGAGGGAAGATTGGATTGAGAGTCTCTGTGCAGAACTTCCCAGGTTGTGGAATCGTCGACGAATTTGACAAGGTCTGTAGCCGGTATGAGATCATTTACCATGATTAAAAAAAGTAAGGGACCAAGTCTTGTTCCCTGTGGAACGCCAGCTTGAATATACTTCCAAGCAGAGTAGTTTGACCAATCTTTGTCCTCTGTAATCTGTTAGACAGGAAGTCGGCAATCCAATTAATGAGAACTGGGTGTACGGCCATTAGTTGAAGTTTTCTCAGAAAGACGTTATGATCGACCCGATCAAAGGCTTTCGAAAAGTCTAACAGGCAGATCCGTAATGATGAACCAAGGTCATCGCACGCTTCGTACACTCTAAAAAATAGGTGTGTTGGAATAACACAACTTTTCTGTTCAGAAAACAACGCATCTTTTGCTGTGTTCAAATAACACACACTGTGCGTTACGGTAACCCACCAAAAGGTGTGTTTTATGCTTGTCCAGAAAACAACATACAGTTTCTGCTAATTCTGCTGAGGGGAGATTGGATTGAGAGTCTCTGTGCAGAACTTCCCAGGTTGTGGAATCGTCGACGAATTTGACAAGGTCTGTAGCCGGTATGAGATCATTTACCATGATTAAAAAAAGTAAGGGACCAAGTCTTGTTCCCAGTGGAACGCCAGCTTGAATATACTTCCAAGCAGAGTAGTCTGACCAATCTTTGTCCTCTGTAATCTCTTAGACAGGAAGTCGGCAATCCAATTAATGAGAACTGGGTGTACGGCCATTAGTTGTGTGAGAACTGGGTGTACGGCCATCTTAAGTCGTGTTACTCCAAAAGGTGCGTTAGGAAACACGCTTAGGTGTGTTATTAGTAATTCGGTGTGTGTTAAGAAAGCACAGCTTAAGGGTGTGTTGCTTTAGCACGTTCAGGCGTGTTCTGCACGTGCTAGCCCGCGTGCAGGCCCAAGGGAACTGATAGTGGGCCTGCAAGCAAGGCCCGGTATTTTGTAAAACGCCCCTTTTCATAACACGCCCCATTCGCGCGTCAATTGTCAAAAAAGAACCAATGACAGCAACCCAAATATTAACAAACAAACTCGCATTAAAATGTTGCGGGGTTTTCTCTGCTTTAATATTCAAAATAGAAACAATGTGTAAATGCCTGTTTTAAAACTCCAAAAAAGCAAGCAACGCAGTCAGTAATTGCCAAATTTACAAGTGCTCATTTTCAACTAAAATCGGAACAGGCAAATTAAGACGAATTTCAACAGAAAACCAGTCTCAAACTTCAAATCGTGAGGGAAGTCGTGCGACCACATCAGCATTTATAATGTGTGCTTCGCTGTCGCCATTGTTATAAATAAATTGTCTCACTTATCAGATCGTGTGTGCAATTCTTGTTGGCGGCGGAAAGTACGAAATTTATTTATTTCAGTTATTTCATTTGGTATAAAAGAACTCTACAAAAGAAGAGAGCGTTCAGAGTCGAGATCGTTTCGTTTCAAACGGCAATTTAATACCGTCTTCTGTTTCGCTCTCTCAGCGAAGCCTTGTAAATCGCAAAGTGTTTCGAATAGGCTTACATGCAACTGCATCTCAACATCAACCAAAAGATAATTTTCTTGAGGAACATATAACGTATCAAGTCTGTTTGAAATTAATGAAACTCTAGTAAAGGTTATACTATAGTTTACCCCAGTCGTAATGTTGCTATTCCAACACCTCACGACAAGCAATCCCCATTGGCATAACGGCAAAAACATCTCTTCCTTCAAGTAAACAATACACCGTCTGTTCTTGTTCCATTTATAATCGAAAAAAGTGATCAATTTTCGAATTTTGAGCTTATCGAGAGCCCGTTTGTGATGAATCATAGACCTAATTATAGAAACCAACAGCAAACAGCCAATCAGAATGCCGCGTTCGTGGGCGAACGCGGAAAGTACAAAATACCGGGCCTTGCTTGCAGGCCCACTATCAGTTCCAGTAGTTCCCTTGGGCCTGCACGCGGGCTATGCATGTGCTGAAAGCCTGAAACAGCACGCCTTCACGTGTGCTGAAACAACACGCATAATGGTGTGCTAAAACAGCACGCCTTCGGTTATGCTAAAATAAGACGCCTTCTTAAGTATTAAATTACACGAATACGCATTTTGTATTGTGGTTAAAAAATACTTTAATTCGAATGTACACAATATCAACATGAAAATGGTCTTGTAAGGTCTGCTGTGTAATACATTAAAATATTCTACATTAGAAGAACATGCAAACATAACAATGCAAAGTGTTCATATTAAAAGTTTTCATTCTGTTATTAATATGGCAGTAAAATACAACGTCATATTTGCGAGGTTAACACTATAATCGCACCATCTACTTCAATCCATTCCTCATTAAGACATTTTTCATCTACACATGTATCTTTACAAATAGACTCCAGTTCCAAATAGGATAAATATTGTTGCAATCAGATAAAGTAAGCTAGTTTTCATAAGAAATGCCCAATTACTTACATAAACATATCAAACATAGAGTCACGATAGTTGGCATCAAATACATCAATAATATGCTGATATATAAGGTCAACCAGAGCTTCCAGGAGAAATGTTGTTCTCTCAAATTAGATAGACGTATCTTTCTCCAAAATAAATGCTTTACGCTTGTAGAACTAACATCTTCTGGTGTGGCGGCGACTACTTTAAATTCTACCATCTTGCCTTTGAACAACATGCCAACCATAGGCGTGAGGAGATTGCTATTAAATATAAAAACATCATTCAATGAAATTACCACGACAAGGGGGAAGCGCGCGGGGGCTGTGAGCGTGTATTAAATGTTCACAATCGCACGTTATTTAGCTTAAACGAAAACATTTGAATTTGAAATGAAAATTGCTGCATAACAGTATTCCTGTGTCAAATGAATCATGCATTTGTACATGACGGCAAGAATTAAATAGGTCATCCCACCATAACAATTAATATGCCGAGGTAATGCAGCAATCGAAACACACAATAACACGTATAGTTTTCAGCCTTACAATCAAAATGCAATTGGAATACATGCAACAAGTGTTCATACTGAATAAATGCAGGAATTGTATTAAATGCTCAATACTTATTCTGTGCCAAATAGGCAATTTATATAATTCTAATTTGGATTGTTTCCAATATGTAATATTAGATAGCTTAAGATCTACGACGTCGACGCCAGCTAGGACGTCAGGGCTAAGCAGAGGACTGGGACTACATTAGGACGACATCCTAGTCCCAGTCCTCTGCATAGCCCTGACGTCCTAGCTGACGTCGACGTCGTAGATCTTAAGTTATCTAATAAAGCAGGTGCACCAGGGCGCAATTTGACTGAATGGGTTAACAAGACACACGAGCAGATAGGTCAGTTAGCCCATTAAGCACCTGAGTGCTCTCCCCCTTAAAGTGCATACGACATTAATATCATTTTTTCACCACAAATCAGCAAAAATTAGACAATTCGAATGATATATATCATTCCTTGATCGGATAAATACTTTCAGAGATAATTTAGATCGAACATTCAAAAAAATAGGGTTTTTCAAGACATGGCCGGGAGAAAAGAGGCTGAGTACGAATCAGGTTTGTGATGTCACACCGGGGACGGAAGTGAATCGACTCGTGTTGCATTACAATAACTCTATTGTGTGCAATGAAAATTTGTATACTTTGCGCTTCGAAATGCCTGTTAGATATGTTGAATACGATTGTTCTAACACAACAGATGCTACAAATCAAATAGCTCTACATCCAATACCATATTATGGGGATTTTCGGCTGCAGTCATTAAGGAGAAGGAAACATTGGATAGATTTGGATAAATTGAAGCGAGCCAGATCGGAGCCGTCTCGTCAATTGTCAAATGCATGTTTGCACAAAGACATGCATTTCAAGGCGGATGACTTTTTGTACACTCTGAATATGTCGGGGCTAAAAGAACGCACATTTCCTCGACTAATGAGGGATGAAATTGGGGTTAGCGTTTATCCGACGGTACAAACTGTGGTCGAAAGGCAAGAGGACATATAATAATGCTATTAAAAGTGCGAGGGTGATTTTATATACAAGGTGAGACAATGTCTTATATTGCCTTTAATATACTTGGTTTTATATTTGTTGAGAATGATAGTATTGGATATTAAAAATAAAAGGAACTTTATTAAATACATAAGTCTTGTGGTTGTTCAGCGTCGCTCCTGACGAAGGGCCTTTGCTCGAAACGTAGAGAAGATATTTTGATCTTTTATAGGCTTGCGTGTACCTCCACTACAAAGATTCTATTGAATACAATTGTATAATACTACATTAAAATTAGATTAAAAGGCGAATTAGACGCAAGGTTAGACAATGTCTTTTATATTGCATGATATACACTCTGCTAATATCTGCAATACTATGTTTCCGAGGCTCCAGGACATTGGTAACATTGAAATATCGAATGCAGTTGGGGCAGTTGGCAGTATTGATTATAGATGCACTCAAATATGAACATTGAATATTTTAATACTGGGTCCTGTTTTAACAACAAACTTTTAAAGAACTTTTATCTAATTTTAATGTAGTATAATACAATTGTATTTAATAAAGTTCCTTTTATTTTTAATATCCAATACTATCATTCTCAACAATTATAAAACCAAGTATATTAAAGGCAATATAAGACATTGTCTCACCTTGCGTGTATATAAAATCACCCTCGCATTTTTAATAGCATTATTATATGTCCTCCTGCCTTTCGAGTTTCGATCGCAGTTTGTACCGTCAGATAAACGCTAATCCCAATTTCATATCTCATTTAGTCGAGGAAATGTGCGTTCTTTTAGCCACGACATATTCAGAGTGTACAAAAAGTCATCCGCCTTGAAATGCATGTCTTTGTGCAAACATGCCTTTGACAATTGACGAGACGGCTCCGTTCTGGCTCGCTTCAATTTATCCAAATCTATCCAATGTTTCCTTCTCCTTAATGACTGCAGCCGAAAATCTACATAATATGGTATTGGATGTAGAGCTATTTGATTTGTAGCATATGTTGTGTTAGAACAGTCGTATACAAGATATCTAACAGGCATTTCGAAGCGCAAAGTATACAAATTTTCATTGCACACAATAGATATTTATTGTAATACAACATGAGTCGATTCACTTCCGTTCCCGGTGTGACATCACAAACCTGATTCGTACTCAGCCTCTTTTCTCCCGGCCAGGTCTTGAAAAACCCTATTTTTTTGCCTGTTTGATCTAAATTATCTCTGGAAGTATTTATCCGATCAAGGAATGATATATATCATTCGAATTGTCTAATTTTTGCTGATTTTTGGTGAAAAAATGGTATTAATGTCATATGCACTTTAAGTAGCTAATACATTATATGTATTGCAATGTATTGCTAGAAATTCCCAAAACATTCATTTGTCATTGAAAACGTTGACAACCAAATCAATAAGCTGGTGTCGTATATATAAAGCACTAGCCACTAGGCAAAACGTTCATGTTATAACTTCAATAGTAACACAGTCCTTAGTTTAATATATTAAATACAATATTTATTTACTGCCAGGGGCGTAGCATGACCTTTTTAACTGGGGGGGTGTAACATCTAAGTTTTACCGACCCACGCGCCACGAGGCGCCACCATGGTTGGCGCTGAGCGGAAAATTTTTGAAAATATGGAGTCTCTAGATCGTTGGAAATGGCATTTTCAGAGCCTTCTGTACCTTATACACACAAGGTTTGGTAGCTTTTATTTATATCAAACAAAACCATATTGTTGAAGTTGTGTTATTTTCGAAATCCGTGAGAATCCGTCAGATATTAACAAGCTGCGAGACTGAGTGTGAGCTCACCGTGAGGTTTTATTAGAATCCGTGACCGCCCCTTATACGCTACATATAACATATACCATAACAGCTATACAGCAATTGACAAATGAATATTTCGGCGCGCGTTTAATTTAATGACACTTACCGTGACTTTAGTCTGCCGTCTAGAAATAACGTAGAAACGTAGCAAACGCTTTATTAATTGGAATAATTGTTGTCTTTGTTACTTCGCGATAAGTCATTTTACCCAATGGCATTTATCTTGTTGTTTATTGTAATGAACAGACTTGAAAAATTGGTGAAACATTTTATGAGCACCGCGTGTCAATAACAAATATATAAATATAATCTTTAATTCTTTTGCGTATCATTGTATCAAGGTCAAAAGTTCGCGCACAGTTGAACATGTCCAATTAGACGGCCAGCCACGCGCGTAAAAAGTGCTTATAAAACACATCCGATGGCATTTTTTGTTACAAGCAGGCAACCACCACCAAAATGTAGCTTGAAGTATCACAAACACAGCTATATAGGTTGCCCGCTCTATTTCGGCTTTTAAAACCTTTAATTTTGGTGATTATTCTGTCAAATTTCAGTGCCGCGGCTCTGTTTGTAAAAGCCGTGAAATTCTATCCCCGGTGTTCATGGCAACAAACTCGTTTGTGATAATCATTCTGATTGGCCAAAATATTTCATTGTGACCAATAGGATTGATTTAACTAGAAAACTGAGCCCGCGCATGCCGAAGGATATGGAAATAATGCGCAATAAAATGGTAATTCTTTGCTCGAAAGATCGATTGAAACAAGGTTTTTATCAAACAAAACAGGCGACGAAGACACATAAAGTTTGTATTATATATTTATTAACATATTATTTCCTTATTATCGTTATAACTAAAATAGTTTTCATCATATATCGCTTGGATACTTGATATTTTAATAGCTTTTTGGGTGTCTTTGTTTGAAAATATGATTACCCCTATTTGATTTGTCTCTTTCATTCATGTCAAGTTAATTTTTAATGTTCATAGTACATGTTATAAATATTATTAATAATGCAGTATTAAAAATATTAAGGCACACAATTGTCAATGGCTTCAACAACCTCATCTGGTTCAAAACGTAAGGAGGAAAGTATATCTCCTAGCGCAGCCTCACTAGTACTATCAAAAAAGAAAAAATGTTGTTATTCCTCTGATAAATGTCTATTTTGCCAAGGCAACACATCGGGTGAGTTGAGAATCACTTCTGATGATGGAAGAAGCAAGGCTGTCCAATGTGCAATTACCATATTAATTATTACCATATTATTATTATTACCATATTTGCTGTGCAATGTGGATTGCCATAGCTAAAACAAAATAACAATTAGAACTTTGTTAATTAAGGCTTTCCTAAGTTTGTTGATACAAAAAATTCTGCTAATTTCATGAATGATTAGGATTATCAGGACATGCGGTATACCATTTTATATTATGATCGATAATTGTTTTTGATTGATCTACATTGCATAATGTATGTGTTTGTATTGGCTTCTGGAGGGTACATCTTCAGTTTTGATGTAAATTGGCAAAACAAACAATAATTTATAATTGTGATTTTTTTTCGATTCAAATAATATTCATCTCACTATGTCACAAGCATGAGAAATACATGCGATTAGGAATTTTACTATAGCTACCAGCATAAAATTATATTCGGTAGAGAAATTCAAAGTGGTCACAAGCCCAGCCAAAGGGACCATGAACATTGTAATGAACAGTGGCAATAAATGGAAACATTCAAATAATAAAAGAACTTTGGGAAAATTGTGTTCAAGTCAACCCACATCTGTGTCTGTGATCCAGTATTGTTATTAAAAACATATTTGAACGTTTATACCTATTTGATCGAATGATATCCTACACAAGCCAAGGCCCAAGACAATTAAATAAAAGGAGACATTCAAGAGATAAAATAACTTAACTTATAATCAAGGGAGATTTACTGGTATCTTCAAACAAAGAGTTGCACTAGCAAAGCATAGAGACAAACACAAATATGCACTAGCAAAGCATAGAGACAAGCAAGCGTTTGATATTCACATTATTATAGAATATAGTATCAAATGGAGGATAAAAAGATACTGTCCCACTTTTATATTATGTTAAAACAGTAGTCCAGTACACGGTAGATATTTTAAAATATTCGAGCAAAGTATATCTCATGCATACTGGCATTGCTGGGCCTGCTGGCAGAAACAGACTAACAGAGCAATCGGCTCGAAAGTTGAAATCGTATTGAAAATGTTCGGTAATAAGCCAAATAATTGTGATTTAAGATGCCGTACCCTCGATTCGAAACAAATACCCACACACAAATTAATGTTGTCGCCTTAAAAAACGCTGTAAAGCGATTGCGTATATATTACATCGTACAAAATGATAAAATCTCATTTTTGCACGAACAAGCCAACATTGAAATTGGGAAAATAGCCGATTTGTATCAACAAATAAGGGAAATCACAACGGTCACATATTTCTATAGACATGTAATTACTGTTTAAACGTAATAAAAACTCAGAATATCTCTGTTTTACCTCTCTCTGGGTCGATCTTTTATCTTATTTGCCAAAAGGTTCTTCACGGCTAAATCGAGGAATGCACATTTGTCCGTCGCCATCTTGAATTCCGCGCAAGGACCTGGGTATCAGTTATGATGTCATGATATCAACCATGAATGATGTAATCAAAACAAATTGGCGCGAAAATTAAAATATTGGCGCCAAATATTGTAATTTGAACAATATTTTAAAATAAACTGCAGGTGACAGGTGTCGATTTTATGATGTAAATTTTAAACATTTAATAAAGCATCGCACTTTAAATCGTTAGTGTTTTCTTCTGTTACTGATCGTACTCAATCACAGGGTTCACTGGGCCAAATTAAATACATAGAAATGTAAATCAAATTCTGGAACTCGCCATTGAAATGTCGAAGTCAACTGCGACAGAGGTAAGTATGTATGTATGTATGTATACAGACAGAATATACTCCAGGGAATACACCACACAAACGTTTTGCTGGTGGGAGGGCATAGGCGTACGAGACAGGTGGCAGGGGAGCAACTGCCCCCTCCCCCCCCCCCAAAAAAAAAAATGCGAGGAAAAGTCAAGAAAATTAGGGCAGATTTATCACAATTCTCCAAAGTTACAATCCTCTTAAATTAACCCCCCCCCCCCCCGAACAAACCAGCCCCGTACGCCCATGTGGGTGGGGTAGGGGTGCCTAGATGAGGGGGCCACAAATATTAAAAAGATAAAGTGATTTATGCATATAGATATAAAATGTCAACAGTCTAGTATCCCAGATCAAATGCAGAATTTTCCCTGGGAATTCTGATTTCAACATTTTCCGGGGAGAGAGTGGATTATGGACTATTTACAAGAAAAGTCAGTAATATATTTGTAACTATGTAAGATAGAAAGGAAAGATGTTTATTGTTTTAACGTTTTATTGTCAATACTAGCACTTTTCGTTGAAACGAAGAAGCGCTACAGAGCGTTCACAAGACGAATTTAATTCAAAATACGACGCAATGCCAACCCATTTATTTCTTTTATTAAATTAGTCGGCATAATTTTTGATAATAGTGCAACGTGCGAAGGCTTAAATTTAAATAGAATTTACCACCAATATGGACTTTGTTTTCTAAATATTATAGGTTTCTTTCATCAGTCATAATTCTAGAAAATTTACACCACATATCATAAATAACTTCAGCAGAGGAGATGCTTTTGAATGCGCTATCCCACCAACAGCTGCAAAGGACTGGAATTCAGCAACGCTTGCATGTTATTCTGAGTCTCAACAAGTTTTGGATCCATTTATTGTGAAATCAATTCCATCAGAAAATCAATTACACTCGTGGAAGAGGGACATTAACAACAATGGTAGAATGAAATACATTCAGACATATTCCGGTACGTTAGACATCAATTGTATCAATGTCCTGTTGAAGTTGCACACTGCCAAAAATATCCAGGCAGCTGTACAACAAGAGGTCAACTGGTTTTCCAAGTCATACAACAAACCACAGACAGTCTCGCAACATCCACCATATTCCTCGATTGCAGATTTCCAGAAAATGCTTTACCTCAACAGATATGATGCAATATGCAACGAAAATGGTATGACACCAATGGAGTTAGCAATGGGATGCGTTAACCGTTGGCTTTCTTCTGATCACATAACTTGGATGATGAAAACCTTAACAGAATCCCAAAATGATACATATTGCATTTTTTTGAATGGCGCACTAAACACAGATCCAAAAACTTACCGCCGATTCAGAAATGGAAACGCTAATCTTCCATCGAAATTTATCTTTGCACTTAATGTCGGTCGGGATGAACGTGGAACTTTCCTTGGTGCTGACGACAAGCGAGGTTGTCACTGGACTTTATGTCATGTCGATATCGTGGCAAAGAAAATTGTCTACGGGGATTCCCTTGCCTGGCCTTTTCCAAGTGGTTTGCTGTGCAGGGTAGAGAAATACATAAAAGCGGTTTGTAAAGATGACGAAATTTCCAACTATTCAATCGTCATGTTGCACGATTCTCAAAATCAGAATCTCATGTCTGGTATGCATCGTTGTGGAGCCACTTGTGCCCAACTTTACCCGCTGCAAACATGCACTAATATATGCGGAATTGTTGTGATGATCGTAGCAGCAATAGCTTGTCACAATTTTGAATTTTTCCAGCACATCTCAACCAGCCATAGCAATGCTACCACCTTCCCTCCTATATTTCTTCAGACCCCAAGTAGGTTTGGGAAATACCTACGCTTCGTTGTTGCATCCTGGTTGGCAAGTAATTCAGTGAACTTGGAATACGTTGTCCCTCGGTTATGGAAGCAGCAACAAGATCATCTGACCTCTTCCTGTTCCATGACATACGATGACGGAGAATCACACAATAACATCTCAACACCCTCCATGGACGGCAGCAAAGATGAATGTAAAACCAGCAATCAGGGTATTGCAGCTAGAACACTAGATAATGGCACACCGGTCGTTGTAATCACTAGCGACAGCGATGGCGACGTAACCTCCCGGCCTGCAAATTATATGAAACATGATAATCCCGTTGTCTCTCCAACCAAAAAGTCTGTTCCTGTAAAAGAAAAACACTACAAATGTTCTCATTGTGATTCTATGTTTACGAGAAAATTCACGTTAAAACGACACATCCGAAATAAACATATACACGAGCAGCCCAACGGCAACTGTAGTTGTCGTGATTGTGGATTTAAATGTCACAAGATAACTGTTTTACGAAAGCATCTGGCAAGGACACACAATGTTCTCTTCAGATCAGAAAAATTAATTTTGGAAAACATGAATGGTTAGTTTATGATAAATTAATTCTGATAATATTATATAATTTACGGATCCATTGATAGAAAAAAATGTTAGTTTAATGATGTGGCGTATGTCACCTTCATTGACCTGTACAGAACAAAGGATAGGTATTTAATGGACCATACCCCCAATTAACCAAAATTTTGATCTAAACAAGTCTAGACAAAAATTTAATCACAGCTTGAAAGAGCATCACAAAATTAGTAATATTCCAAAGTTTCGTTGCAAAATGTTGTAAATGCGGATAATATAGTCTTACGAAGTTTGCAAACGGGATTACAAACGGGAATGGTTACCACTTCTGTGCGTAATACAAAATGACTGGAAATTACAAACTTCGCAAGGCTATATTATCCGCATTTTATAACATTTTGCAACGAAACTTTGGAATATTACTAATTTTGTGATGCTCTTTCATGCTATTGATGGAATTTTGTCTAGACTTGTTGAGATCAAAATTTTTGGTAATTTGGTTAATTGGGGAATGGTCCATTAAGGTGGTCAATACAGTTTTTTAAAAAATGGAAAATTTACGATTTAGATGCGTATTTTTGGACAATTATTACTTGTTGATAAACAAAAAGTACCTTATATAAAACAACATCTAAAGAGTTTGAATTTTTGCACAAAAGTTACGCAACTGCCGTTGCTATGGCAACAATGACGTTTCAAGAAGGCGGATATTTTGGCTTTAAAGTAATTTAACTCGTAATCCACATCGGTGACCCCCAATTTTATTTTAAAAAATGATTTCTCTTAGTATAATCAATTATTTTGACAATTTAAAAAAGATGATTATTTATAATAATTTCTTTTTGTCTGCACAGAATTTTTTTTAAATTGTCAAAATAATTGATTATACTACGAGAAGTCATTTTTTAAAATAAAATTTTGGGGTCACCTAAGTCGTTTACGAGTTAATTTACTTTAAAGCCAAAATATCCGCCATCTTGAAACGCCATTGTTGCCATAGCAACGACAGTTGCGTAACTTTTGTGCAAAAATTCAAACTCTTTAGATGTTGTTTTATACTTTTTGTTTATCAACAAGTAATAGTTGTCCAAAAATACGCATCTAAATCGTGAATTTTCCATTTTTGTAAAAACTATATTGAGCCTTCTTAATCCTACTTGTTATAACCTAATTTTATTTTTAATTAGAATTTCAGGAGTGGAAAGGATCGGTCGAAGAAAAAGAAGTTTGCACATTTACCAAGAAAACTGGCAACAAAGGACAAGAAGGTAACATCCAATACTTCCAGTGCAACCGAGGAGGAATTTACAAACCTGGTGGTACTGGGAAAAGGCGAACGAAATCGCAAGGTTCGAAATATTAATTTAAAAATTAATTAATAATATAATCCGACCGGCTCGTCACCCTGGAGCCGGTTGTTCAAAGTTGAATTAGCGTTAAACCCGAGTTAAAATTAATTTAAGCAAATTTAAGCAGCTGTTTGGTTTGGGTACATCTGCAAACCCGTTCATTTCAAAACTGGAGAAAATATTACGTTTATTGATCAGACAATAGTTCTGGAACACTATCTCCCTGTTTACAAACAAACTGTGTAAGTTTGCTTTCGTCAACCTAACCAGCTTTTGAACAACCGGGTCCGGAGAATAGAATTGTCTCACATTGTATCTTATCATGGTATCTTATCTTTTTAAAGCATGAGCAGCCGCTCTGTATCTGACTCTTCAGCCGGTCTGTATCTATCGCGTTTGTAAATCAAATACAGATCGGATGCGAATATTAGTCTTACTTACTAGAAATACATGCATTGCAGAAACCACTCGCCTTGCTGGCAAAACCACTATATTTTCCGAACATGTTAACTTTACTCTTTAGACTTCGCTAATTACGCTTTTCTTTCCCCAGGGGTAAATAGCCGTGCGGAATTAGCATCCTACGCCGCTCCGCGCCGTTCGCTCGGGGATAAAACGTCAGGATGAAAATGTTAATATTCGTCTTTTATCTCAAAAAAAAAAAAAAATTGGTGTAAATCAGGACAAAATCTGTAACCGATTTACAGATATATTAATTAAATATGTATTTCTTTTGATAATTAAAAAGAAACATATTTGAAACTCATTTAATAATAATTCATGATACATAATTTAAACTGAATACTGAATACTAAGCATATTTGGAATTAACGCGCGCAAAAAAGCAGAACACCGAATAAAAAAAAAAGCATCGAACAGCAGGTGCATTGTACATGAACCTAACCTAATAGGGTTTAATTCTACTTTGAGAATATGTAGCTTCGATTTCATTTTCAATGAATCGCCTTTTTGAATGTTCTCGATAGGTACATGCAAGATACAACATAACTGTACATCAACAATTAAAGCAGAGACAACAACAAATGGAAATATCGAAGTGAATGTATGTTACACGCATTATGGTCATGAACCGGAACTCCAACATACCTGGCTACCAAAGAGTAAACGCCAACAAATAGCGGCCTTGTTACAACAAGGAGTCTCTAGGGACAAAATTCTAAGCGACATAAGAGATTCCGCAATGCAAGAAGGCAATGAGTTCGCCCGGTACCACTTAACTGCGAGAAAGGACATCGCCAACATCATGCAGTCATTCGGGATAAGTGATGTGCAAAAGCATCCTGACGACCAAGAAAGCGTGAGAGCTTGGGTAGAGGAGTGGAGTAAAAGTGAAAACAATCCTGTTCTTTTTCACAAATACCAAGGCGAGCCTGCTCCTGACGGATATGATTTAACTGAAGACGACTTCATGATTATTATACAGAGTCCGTTCCAGAAAGATATGGCCCATAAATTTGCCAGTAATGGTATCTGTATTGACGCAACACATGGCACAACTGGTGACGACTTTCCGCTGACATCCTTGGTAGTGGTAGATGAATATGGAGAGGGTTTTCCAATTGCCTGGTGTCTGTCCAACCATGAAGACTTTACACACATGTGTGTATTCTTCGAAATGGTAAAACGGAATTGTGGGGTCCTGACACCAAGATGGCTCATGTCTGATTTGGCCAGTCAGTTCTACAATGCCTGGTTGGGGGTGATGGGAGGCAAGCCATTGCGACTGTTGTGTACTTGGCATGTCGATAAAGCATGGCAAACTGAGTTGCGAGCCAAAGTTAAGGATACAGGTAAGTCAAAAGTCAGACTAATCAAACACAAGCATTTTGTCACGTGTATGAGTTTGGAAACCCCGGTAAATTTTGAATCAGTAATTAAGAAATTAGATAATAAACGCTTGAGACAATAAGAAGTGAGCCATTACAACATTTGTTAATTATTAAAACAGTCAAAACAATGAAAACCGTGTTATTACAACAATTCGTAATTATAAATTAACAAACCAATGTACAGGGTGTCTCAAAAAAAACCAAAATCATTGAAATAACGTATTGTTCGAATTTCAATGCCGTAACACAAAGGATTTTGACAGGGTGATTAATTTGTTTTAAAAAATTAAAATATCTTTGTAAAGTGAACGTTTGTTTGCTCATGGGAATTTAAAAATGCTTCGTAAATTGTAATATGCGTAATATGCATTCGTGGGTTTAGTACTTTATGCCTGACATAACAAGTTTACGCTGAGTATTACCATTCATTATAGCAGTTATGTCAATCTTTTATGCACTCGTGGGATTAACTTAGTGCTAGGGCATTGAATATCGAACAATACGTCAATTTCAATGATTTTGGGTTTTTTTGAGACACCCTGTAGTTCAGTTTGCACATTTTAATCACACAACTTTACTCGATTTCACAAGCGACAGTCATACAGGGTGTCCCCAAAAAAGAAAACTATGGAAATATCGTATTGTTAGAATTTGAATGCCTCAGCACTCTGCTGAACCCACACGTGATCAAAGCTTGACGTAAGTAAATTTTATGCTTGAAGAAACCGTTTAAGAAGCTGTTTTAAATTCCTAAGAGCAGAAAATCGTGCGCTTTACAATAAGGATGTTTTAATTTCTTAATATTAAGTCAATAATATTTAATATATGCACCTTGTCAATATTTTACGCATCTTTGCGTTCAGCTTAGTGCTAGAGCATTCATATTTTAACAATACGTTATTTCAACGGTTTTGCGGTTTTTTTGGGACACCCTGTACAGTGTGTCCCCCAAAAAAGGCTACCCTTTGAAGTCAAGCGCTAGTGCCGCATGTTCGAATTTGAATGCTTTAACTCCCTAATGAGCCCTGGAATGCGTAAAACGTTATACTGTACGTAGTCAATTATATTCATGCATTCCATTCTGTGTTATTTTAGCGGAACAAATTTCAATTAATTTGCAATGCATGCATAAAAATGCTCTGCTATAACGTTTTACGCATTCCAGGGCTCATTAGGGAGTTAAAGCATTCAAATTCGAACATGCGGCACTAGCGCTTGACTTCAAAGGGTAGCCTTTTTTTTGGGACACACTGTAGACTATTAAAACATAGACTAGTAAAACAATAGACTATTGTCGATTCAGAAGTTATTTCATAAACTCGTGGCTCGCATTCAACCAGGGTTTCCAAACACTTGACTGTTCACCAAAACACTCAAGACAATGGAATTCATTCGACTGTTTTTCAAAATACTCAAGACAATGGCATTCATTCGACTGTTTTTCAAAACACTCAAGACAATGGAATTCATTCGACTGTTTTTCAAAATACTCAAGACAATAAAAACCACTCGGCCATTCCGGCCTCGTGTTTCATTATCTTTCGTGTTTTACAAATTCTCGAAAACAATAAAAATTGCTTGGTAAACAGCCTTGTGAATCCCATTGTTCTCGCATGTTTGGAAACCTAGCTGATAAAACACTCGCACTCATTTATGAAACATTACCTAAAACTTTCATTTACAAAATATTAATAAAGCTTTTGGGTTACTTTTCCCTATAGTTGTGGCAGCAGAGATTTACAAAATGTTGCGAACTGTTTTGCAGCAAACAGATGTCACTTTATTTCAAGATTATCTTGCTCAGCTTCTTGAATGCCTTCCATCGCTTAGCCTGGAATTTTGCCAGTATTTTCAAAACGAATGGCTAGGTAGAGAGGAGTGGTGGGCATATTGCTACCGGGCAGGTTTAGGTATTAACACCAACATGATGGTTGAAGCATTTCATCGTGTTTTCAAGTATAACTATCTCAAAGGAAAATACAACAAACGAGTCGACAACTGCTTAGTCAACCTACTCAAGTTCACACGGGATAAATTATTTGAAAGATTAATCAAGCTCACCAAAGGAAAGAGCACCAGCAAGCTCAGAAATATTCAAGATCGTCACAACAAAAGCATGGCATTAACAATTGATAGCGTCGAATGCGTCGATGGGTCGAAATGGCTAATTAAGAGTGAAAATAATTGCAATACATACACAGTTAGCAAGCAACAGCATACATGCACAGATGCAACATGTCAGTTAAAATGCACAGAATGTAACATTCCAATATGCATACACCAATATATATGCACCTGTCCAGATTGTCTCATTCAGCATACCATATGCAAGCACATACACCTATTACAGCGTTTCTTGTCTTCCGACAAGAAACTGACAAGAAACTGACAGAAACTGATGCTGAAATGGAAGTTACAGATAGTTCACAAGATTTTGTAACTAGTGAATTGCACCTTCTGTCATCGCACATCCACACACAAAATAAAGCACCAAATGATCTTGCATCACTCAAACAGGAAATTCGTGGGAAACTTCTCACATTAGGGGAACAGATTGATTTGTGTACCAACAAAGAAGCACTACAGCAGCTAGCTAAACAAATCAATGCCGCACAGAATCTGTTTTCATCACTGCAAAAACACGTAGGTCACCACAAGATGCAGCCAATAACAAACACACCGGCTAACAAGAATATCGAAAAACAGAAAGGATTTCGATCAACGAAGAAAAAAACAAGAACGACTAACAGAACCCGATTCACAAAGCCAAGCACCGAGGATATTTGTTCACTCTTTCCACAAACTAATAATGGTATGGTACTTTTCTAATCAATATGTTTAGTTTAGGTACCGGTCATTATTTTTTTTATTATTATTATTAATGGTTTAAGATACACACCTTCGCAATAGATTGAATTATGGTGCGTTTACAAAATTGGTACGCTATATATTTACATATATAAAAAATTTAGTTGCATGCATCAAGTCTAAAAATCTTATTGAATTGCATTAAAATCATCGTAATTAAGTATCACGCTTAAGTTTCTTTACTATAACTATTATATAGAGCTACTGTACTGGGAAAAAAGCTACGGCGATATCTTTCTGTTCGGCATTTTATTGTTGTTAATGTGTTAGAGTTTCTAAGTTCATAATCATTTGAACTAGCCCTAGACAATGGAACATATTTTGACAGTGGTCCTTCAATTTCTATGCGTTTCATAGTATTGAGGCAATGTCGTTCTCGCCTTTCATCCAATCTGGAACACCCAAGTTGTGCTAATGCTTCCCTGTAAGAGTAACCCGGTAAAATGATCCTCAGCGCTCGTTTTTGCACTCGCTCTAAATCATCGGCGAGGTACAAAGGTAGGGCATGATGCCATACCACACAACAGTACTCCAGAACCGATCGTATTAAGGCAAAGTATATACTCAATAAGTCTTCCGCGGGGACACCACCTCGTCGTAATATGCGGATGATATATAAACGTTTAGAAGCCTTGGATACAACTGATTCTATGTGTGCATTCCATTTAAGATCGTTTTGGATAACCAGACCTAGGACTTTATGAGACCGCACAACCTCAAGCGCATGACCGTCGATCAACAATGGTGATAGATCAGGTGATTCCCGCAGAAAGCAAACGCGTAGTTCTTTGCACTTTTTGTGGTTAAGTTTCATAAGGTTGCACGAAGCCCAAGAATTTATAGTATCAATACAGAATTGAAACTTTGAATTGCTGCCCTTTGTGATATTTTCAGATGTTGATATGTCATCCACAAATTTCCAAATATCCGTTGCGTGTGGTTTCACATCGAGATCATTTATCATCGCCAAAAACAGAATTGGACCGAGTTTAGTTCCCTGGGGGACACCCGCATTCATTGGCAACCAGTCTGACGTTTTTCCTCCAAGTTTGACCCGATGACGGCGGTTAGTTAGGAAGTTGATAATCCAAGGCAACAGGGACGATCTAACACCTAGGTCCAACAGCTTTAATATTAGTAAATTATGTCCTATACGGTCAAACGCCTTTTCGAAGTCAAGGAAACAAAGTCTAAGATGTTTTTCAGGACACTCTAAGTTGCACAACCAAGTGTGGATCATGTCTAAAAGACAATAGGTTGTGGATGTTCCTTTCAAGCATCCAAACTGCTTGGGGTCGATCTTGTCTTTAATATCGGTTATCATCCACCCGACCACGAAATCTTCAAGAACCTTAGCCAGGCAGGGTGTCAGTGAGATGGGTCTGGTGTCACCTTCACAGGTAGGAGGTTGTGATTTTGGAACTGGAATGATGTCTGAGTCTTTCCATATTGCAGGCACGATTCCAGATGAAAGTGATTCGTTGAAAATAGTTGCAACAGGTTCGGCTAATTCATGGGAAAACTCTTTCAGGATACGACAGGGGACGTTGTCTGGGCCGTGAGCTTTGAAAGGTTTAATTTCTAAGAGCTTTTTAGATACTTCATGCGGTTGAACTGTTGGAGCAGGTTCTTTGGCCGGAAGAAATGCCGGGAGTGTCGCTAAATTAAGTGGTGGAATGTCACTATTCACCGATGCATAGAACACATTCAAAGCTCTAACTAATTCTGATTGATCCAGAGTTCTTCCATCATGTTCAAGCGAGAAGGAGTTCTTTCCAGATTTTCCTGCCATTTTATTTACGATTTTCCACCACATACGGCAGTCATCCTTCTTTAAATGTTGTACCTTTGTTTTGTAGTACGATATTTTCCTCGCATTGATTTCATGTTGGACCTTATATTTCAACGATTTCCACAAGATTGTATTATGACCATGAAACGCCTTTTGTCGATATTTGATAAGCTGTTTTATTGCAGGCGTTATCCATGGTTTATCGGTGTGATGACGTGTTGACGTCTGTTGTGGGAAGATTCGGTCAATATTTTCTGTTAACTGGTTTGTAAACGAGATTGCCAAGCTATCAACAGTAGGGTTGGGTTCAAGGTCACAAAACCAATTATGTGTGGTAACCCATCTTCCGAAAGCATCTATTCCTGATCTGGGATAGCGCCGTACTAAGGATTTAACAGGTTTTGCTTGGATGTTGTGGCTGGGCATGCTATCGACTGAAGGTAGCCAGTGTACAATATTATGGTCACTGGATCCTAATGGAGCAAGGACATTAGGGCGGTCATATAAATTATACAGGTTTGTAAGAATAAGATCGAGTATTGCTGATTCTCTAGTGGGTTGGTCAACAACTTGTTTAAGATTTTGACTGGTGGTCAAACTGCGAGTTTCAAGATCATTAAAATCACCCATAATTACTAGACCAAGGTCAGGGTGGTTATTTCGAAGTAGGTCAATAGTGTTAATTAAATGTTCATTAAGATCACTGTGTTCCGATATTGTCAGACCAGGTGGGTGATACACGACACAGATAACGATACCGGATAGAGGTCTAGGGAGGCGTTTCGGTCGAATGCTCAGCCATAAGCATTCTAAATTCTCACTTTCTAGGTCTACCCGTCGTATACAAGGGATGTCTTTTTTAATATAGGCACAAACTCCGCCACCTCGTCCAATTGCGCGATCTTTACGGAATAAATTGTAATCGTTAATTGACAATAAGCTGCTGTCTATGTGTTCGTGTAACCATGATTCAGTTATTGCGATAATGTCAATGGGCTTGAAACTTAGTAATGCTGTCAATTCGTCCAGCTTTGGAAGGAGTGAGCGGAGTGGCACAGAAGGGGAGTGGCACAGAAGAGAAAAGGGTTGGGTAAACAAAATTTTAAGTGAGTAACAGGTTGGGTAAATATAAAAAACCTCAAAGGACAGGTTAGGTATAATGACAATTTAGTCTCATTTCCAAAGCATGACTAACTGAAATATTGCAGACTATAAAAAGCCATGTCAATAGTCATAAGCAAATACAATATTAAGTAAATCAATCACTCACTCAGAGTCACTATTTTGTTCATTTTCCGATTTGTCAGGAGGCAAATGGTGTATTTCTGCAATGAAAGTACATGTGCAGATCAAACATCAAACTTTACACTGTATAAATTAATTGAACAAGTAGTTATCAAACTCATTTTAATGACTTAAAAGTGGTAAAGAAAGGACATGTGTAACAACTGAATGATATCCTTTTGTGAAAATTTTGGCCAACGGTGGGTATTTATTTTGTTATTGACATATGAGGTTGGCCAAAATGTGTTTTAATATTTTAATTATTGGATGAGCAAAATTTTTACCAAGAAAAACATTTCTCTTCGGTGCCACCGCCCCCACCATAATTAATGAAATATCAATACAGGCATTTTAAGCACTGATTTTAAGTTGTTGTCACCATGGTGACATTCATTAAACACACAACGTTTTCCAAAATGCCTGGATAACTATGATTTAATTTAGCATTTAATTTATAGTAAAGTTAACAAATAATATATTTATTTTATAGTTAAAGAGTTGCTTAAAAGCTTTGGGGTTTCAAACAAAGTCATCAAGACGGTTATGGAGACAAATGGGCTTATTTCAGATAACGACCTACACCTTGACAAAGACCATCCATCAGCAGAGGCACTGAATTACAACATGATGTCTATCAAACGCTACCTAAGTCCAGATGCCTGGGATAAAGTTAACAACTTATGTATGTATTAAACTATGACTAAGCTAATTACCTCATCTTTTTACTAATTACTAATGGCTAATTACCGCATCTCATAAAGATCTTGTGTAGCCATGGCCTTTATTGCTAGATCTAGCTAGATACACTATTTTATAAATACACTATTCAATAATTCTTTAATAAATACACTATTTTATAATGTTTGGCAGTTCATTACTAATATAACTATTAATAATGAACTGCGCCAAACATTATAAAATAGTGTATTTATTATTTTTAATAATTTATATATATAAGTTAAGTTAAGTTGAAAATGTGGAAAGATATTGCCTGCCGCGGCTGGGTTTTGAACCCGCGACCTTCGTATTATATTATAAATTAAAATTTTATTTTATATATTTTATATATATTTTAATATTTATTTATATATTTTAATAGTACAAGATCTGCAAGACGAGTGGAAGTGCTGCACATGTGACAAAGCCAAGTTTGAAGACATGATAATGTGTGATTCCTGTCTGACCTGGCATCACTGGTAAGCACCCTCGCCCAATCTTTTTACAATATTTTTTACCAATTATATACTAGCTATACTGTATTTACTTATTTGTACTGTAAGTATAAATACGGTATACTCATTCCAGTGGTCAACAACTAATTAGCAGTCCAGTCTATAAATTGCATTATACTGTATAATTACCCATTTTTACCCATTTTATACCGTACATATTTTTTCACACTTAGGAAATGTGTAAAAATTGAAAATGAAAATGATGAATGGTATTGCCAAATCTGTGAAAATCTAAATCAGGTAAATGTGTATTATATGGTAATACACATATGTAGTATATATACTATATAGTAAAGCTATATGGTCTACTTTATAATTAGTGCTTGCAAAACTTGTATATTGCAGTCATGCAACACACATTTTTAGTGATCATTATCCACTTGACTTCTTCATATGAATGTAATAATAATTTTGCAGCACAATTACTGTGTCAGTTAAATTTATATGTGATAAAAATTATGTAATTTACATAAAATTTTAGTTTTAATTTTCTCAGCCTAGACAATATCGAACTAGATGGGTTGTTTTTGATCCATTTAAAGCACTCCCAGTCTGTGCTTTGTCAGGTATAATATCCTATTATCCTGAGGTGCATTCAAGTAGTTTTATACCTCATAAAACACTAGTCCTGCTCATGTTTTAAATAGTATACTATATAAGGCAATATCAAAACTTGGCAAGACGTCTCGGCAAGCAGGCAGGCTCATATCAACATGCAGGCTCTATAACTGGGACAAACTAGTTAGGGTTTGACACAGGTTTGAGGACAACCAAATTACAGTACCAAGGTGCAACCTTGTAACAATATTGTTCCAAGTGTAAATATTAATTATAAAACAGGCTCTTAACTTCTTTTAATAAGGTATTAACACTTTTTTGCATTGCAGGATATGTCATCATAAAAACTGGACCACATTCTACTTTGGGATTGGTTTAAGAATGTATATATTCTATGTATATAAATAATGAGTGAATTAAGAGTTAATATTTTGTACCATTTCTGGATACTGTACACAATTGAGATTTGAAATGTTTATAAGGACTATTTTAAAGGTATTTAATAATGCACCTGTCAATGTTGAGCCCCAGACGGGTAGGTCTGGAATATGTGGAGTATTTGATCATCAATTGCATCTCCACCCTAGGGATTTTTATTAGCATTTTGGGCCCAAGTTAGAGCAATTTGAACCAAATGACTTTTATTAATATAGTATTTATTGCAATTTATTGCAAAATGGTGGGGTATTTGACCAATATTTATTGCCCGTCGGTGAGGCATTTGATTGAAAATTTGCTAAAAAAATAAAATCCCCCTCCCCAACTCTGAGGCTTTAAACATTGATAGCCAGGTGCATAAAACTGCTAAAAGGCTGTATACTATGAGGACTATAACTTTATACACCAATATACTTTATATTACTAATTAGTAATTAATGTTTCGTTCCATGTTCGATATATGTGTTGAAAACATTGTCCAACAAAATTAAACTTACCTTTCTATATGAAAGATTCGATCAAAAAACAATGTAATAATTCCAAATTGTGAGATTTGTGAAGTATTTAAATGAAAAGTTACTACCAGTGGTTAACATGGATGTACATAAGGGATACAAGGGTATTTTATTGGATAACCATTATACCAATACATTATTATCCCATATAATCACAGATGTCCCCAGTTTATAATGAATTCAAAATGGCGTCCGGAAAATGTGCATTCCTCGATTTAGCCGCATGTTGCAAAGTGAACAGCCGCCATCATGCAAATTCTGCCGTGATAACTAAACTACCATGATGCTTTGCGTTAGCGCAAGTTGTGAATTACCCAAACAGAATTTGGCAAGTTAATTATTAACTGTGTTTAACTGACACGCCAAAATATTAACTGATAGCTGACAAACAAGCTAAATTTTAACTGACAACTGACATGCACAACCCCCCATTCAGACCCTCTTACAAGTTTGAGTGACAAGAATGCACGACGACCTCCGAAAGACCGAAAGGCCTCCAAAGTTTTTACTCTTGTGCAATCAAGTGAGATCATATAAGTTGATTACCGCATATCATGTTTATTATGACTATTATAAAATAGATCGAAATAAACAAAGCAAAATCACAGTTCACGAAACAGACATCCTTAATTCTCATTTCACGGAGCATTGTTATCGACAATCACGGCTGTAAACAAATCACATTTCACGACACTAAAATCAAGCATTTCACATTTCACATTTCACGCGAACAAATATTGACCATTCACGGCTCACGAAAATACCCTTTCCCACCCTTTAGGAGATCATGCTCGATATCGCCCTATGTAAAGGAATCCAAGATGGTGTCGGATTCCGGATCCTGGCTCGTGGATTCCGGATCCAGATCCGTGGATTCCGGATCCTGACCCGCGGATTCCGGATTCCTTCTTAATAATAGTCAGTGGATTCCTTGACTAATAGTTACTTTTTATAAAGATTTCAATAACTAACCTGTATAACATCCGGTCAAAATAAGGCTTTATTATATTTTGTAAGATTAGAGGACCTAAAACTGCTAAAGACTGCTGTAAACATGCACGCGGTAGTCTTATACATGTACATCAGTAACCTTTAAACACTTTTAAAAAACAAAACATGATATTAAAGCTTATTACATCAACATAATAACAAGAAACACTAAATGTCAATATTGCGAAGCATTATTCATCATTTGGTAAGTTCTGTTACCTAACGCAGTATAAAACGACTCGTCCTTCTTCCTAACGAGCTCATTCCTTCAAGTCTTAATTAATGGTCCTGTTTCTTGTGTTTCAGCAGATACTCTTTCCTGCTCCTCCTCTTCTTCATCTTCACTTTCATCATCCCCGTTAGCAAGCCTACTTAACCGGATGGCTTCATTGGGAGACAAAATAACATTTCAACTGTCTTCAAGTAAGAAATTGTCCACCTTTGGTAAGATGCAGTTCATGCTCATGTATTTTCTAGTAGCCAATTCGACATAAATATCTTGCATCAGTACGGCAAGTCAATAGGGGGACAATTCTCTCCTACGATTATGTCTAACTGCAATTACATCATCTTTTAAGTAGACCATACGCACTCTTATTGTTGTCTGTGGGTTGTCCTCCATGTGCACCATCGGCAACAAAATACGCAGTTGTTACATCGGGTATGTCTGATGGAATTGAGATGACGCATACCCAGGGTGCACGGCAAGGTACCTGTCTGTTAATTCTTTAGTCTTTGAGCGGACATTTGTTTGTCGAACTCCTCTTCCATGTTCTTGGATAAAAATTTTCATCACTCTGCTTCTTCTCGTTTGTCTTCTTTGGCATCCCACTTCCTTTTTGTGTGGAAGATTGTCTGCTGGCCCTGCCAGACAAATTTGGTGGTTCTTCGTTAATAATCTTCTCGGGATAAAACGAATATGGGCCAGTGAAGTAGCTGAAGTGTTTCTCGGGTAAATCCAAAGCATGATAACTTCAACACAGCGAGCTCGCTTGTGTGCGTATTCTGCAACGTACACCTTTGAAGAAAGTCTCTACGCTTAATGTTGTCAGGCTTGTGAAGCGAATCTTGTTGGCCAATTCCTCATGATTAATCTCCATCAGCGTGTTTAGTAGATCGGTGAGGGAGTCTAAGACAATTTCAAAGGATCGTCTCGTTGTTCGCGGTATAACCATGTCTGGGCCGTTTGTATTTAACTTCCCCGTCCTAACTCTAGCTTCGTTCTCTAGATTAGCAAAGAAGGCAACAACTTCCTGTACAATTCTCAGGTGGTCGTTGTTTATTATGGGCAACTTCTACTGTTTTGCCTTTTTATCAAGCCTAAACAGATTTGCGTATTTAGCCATTTCTTGTTGGAGTGGAATCAGCCCTACTGCTGAAATGACAATGATCCTTCGAAATCCTTATCCATAACAAGCACTTTTGAAACGCCTTGGTACTGAGTACACTCCTTTTGCAGGCTTTTTAATAATTCTAGTATTCTACATGTTTAAATATATGTACTTCCATATATCAGCACTCCTAAAGTTTATAATTCACCTCTATAGCTTCATATTAAAGATGAAAAATAACAATGATCGGTTAGTATTTATATTTCACTATATGTACTATTAAATTATATCTGAGAATTGAACAACGGCAACGCTAAATATTTATGATATTTAAATCTCAAAGGGATATAAAAGGGACGATACCGAGGGTGGGAAATGGGGGGGGGGGTATGGGTCACGTTTCACAATGAAAACAAAAGCTGTTTCACCAATTCACGTATCTTAATTTTAAAAAAGCAATTTCACATTTCACGGAAATTCTAATAAAAATAATATAATAATAATACTTAGGTTTATTAATAGTATGCTTAATGCATGGTACAGCATCTGCGATTTAAGTTATCTCACTTCTCTGCCTGGCAGTTAAAAACTGCATTATAACTTACATGTTTCAGTGACGTGTACGTGCGACGACCTCCAAACGGCCTGAGAAATTTTTGTTCTTGTGCAATGCAATCGAGTGACATCGATCATATCAATTATTATCGCATATTATGTCTATTATGACTTTTATAAAATAGATTGAAATAAACAAAGTAAAATCACAGTTCACAAAACAGACATCCTTAATTCTCATTTCACGGAGCATTTTTATCGACAATCACGCCTCACGGCTATACAACAAATCACATTTCGCAACACTAAAGTCAAGCATTTCGCACGAACAAATATTGACCATTCATGACTCACGAAAATGACCCTTTTCCACCCTCAATAGTCGTCTATTCCGGTCATCACTTTTCTCTCTACTTTGTTTCTTGTGCTTTTTTCCCATTCCTAACTTTTTCCTTGAATAATATTTTATAAATATGTTTCAATTCGACTCAATATCTTGGCAAAAACAGTCAAAAACGATCAGTGTTTCCAACGCACTAGTAATTCGACTAAGGATTCAATTATTTCGGCGAAGTAGTCAACAAATTTGCGCGCTCCTGTTGCGCCCAAATGCATAATTCAGAGTTAGTTTGTTTGTTCTCATTAACACCATGTAAATTTTATGAGGCGGGGAGACTTGTATTGCATGAATTTAATGATATCACGTACGTTAAGGTTTGATGCAGAGGGTTTAATGTGTCACGCTACAAAACCATTATATTTTATAAAGTATGAAAGCTGGATTCCTTATTTCATGATTAAAATAATGGATTCCGGATCCGAGTCAATGGATTCCGGATTCTACGTCATGGATTCCGGATTCTGAAGTGCAAATTTTTGTTGGATTCCGGAATCCGGATTCCTTTACATAGGGAGAGCTAGGCATTCCACACTTACCAATGGTCATCCCCAAAAGTACCATCTCTGAACCATATAAGCACCTCAGAATAGCCAAAGCTTTTATGGTTTGGTAGATAGCAGTATGGCGAAAGCGTCGTTTTGGGGTGTGGTCAGTTTCGGACGTTTCGTCCCGGATTGGGGTTCGGGCAGTGTTACCATGTTGACCGTCATGGTCAACTTGCCCTAAAACAATTGAGATTATCTGTCCTAAATGAAATGCATACAAACTCATATACAGGTCCTCGACTATTACAAGTGCTTGATTGGAGGGTTGGTAACACGACAAACAAAGCTCACCATCATTTTTTTTTTGTTTTCCTTACGATTTATTTATTTTTAATGTCAATGTGTTCGTTAGCAATTTTCTGCAACATGTATATTTGTTAACCCCACTTATTTTATTTGAATTATGACTGGTGGAACTCGACATAATATATATTCTCGAATTATGTGACTTTAATCTCAGAAAAACAGCTTGTTCAATATTTCAAAATAGCAGGGTCAAAATGCAATTCAGGTGTTTATAACCACAGTGTTGTGATTGAACATGCAATCATGCATGCATGAGAGTAGCAG